AACATCAACCCACACTTGGACATCAAATTTCAACAGTAAAATTGATGCCTGACATCACAAACAGGGTCGACATCTTGACATTGCCAATAATCACTAATAAGGCTATTCTCCATCATCGACACCAACTTCAATGATGCCCATTGTTAACATCAATGTCAACACTATAAGTGGATACTAACGTTAATGCTCGACATTGACAATAATGAAAATGACCATCTTCAATACTAATGTCGATGTGCATTAACATCAACACCTCTTCTAACATTGTTAAGAATGCCAGTGCTTGATGTCAACACAACTCTAATGTCATTGTTAACAAGGTTGACACTCGATGTGGACAATAATGCAAATGTTTGATGTTAATACCATTGACAATGTTTGATGTGGACACCATTGTTGTCCTGTTGATGCCCTATGTTAAAATAATGATAGTGCTCAATGTCAATCTCAATGCGGACACTCGAGATCAACACTAATGTTGATGCTCTCTATTGTCCCTAATGTCAATACCAACCCCCAATGTTGATACCTAAGCTCATGCCTGAGGACAAACCCAATGCCAACAACTACCATTGACACCAATAATAACTTCCACCATCAACACTAAGGTTAATCCTAACCAATTTTATCAATGATTATCCTTCCATAAGAAGATAAGTTAAACAAACTACTAATGATCTTTTGATGACAACTCTAATGCTTCTCTCCTTACTTACAATATGGAATATATCTTTCATAATTCATATCGACTATAATATATCATTATCTTCTTTAATTAAAAATGTGGACCTTACTTATAACCCACACCTCATAATAGTGAAATCATTTCGGCTTGATCTGGTCTTGTGGTATCTTTTTGAGATTTTCCATGTAAAAAACCCATGTCTATCTTATATATGTATGAGAGATTTTTCATACAATACTAAAATGATAAACTCTATTTATTGTCGTGAATGTCTAACTTGTAATGATTATATAACTACTAATTTATTTATCATTAAGAAAATTTAATTATTATTACAAATGTAATGATGATTAAAATTATTTTATTAAATTTAACTATTAATTTATAAAATGGTAAATTTAATTATTTTTAAATAATAAGCTTATGAAAAAATAGATAAAGTATTTACTTTAAAAGATACTCTTATGAAAAGATAAATTTAATTATGATTATAAATTCACTATAAAATGTATTTTTTTTGTTAGGGGTCATTTGGTTGGTTGAAAAAGGAATGGAGTAAAATGGAATACAATGTAATTGAAATATTTGAAATTATTTGAATGTATGTAAAATAATGCAGGTAATTCATTTTTTTTATTTAGCTTTAAAAAAAATGAATGAAGTGCAAAACCCAAAAGATGATGGTGGTTGGTGATGGATGGTTGATTGGGTGGCGGTGGTCGGCAACAAAAGTGATAGGTGGAGGTCGACAGTGGTATAGGGAAAAAATAGTCTTCGTCCTGTGGCAGCAGCCAGTGGGCAACAAAGAGTGGAGGTGATTGATATTAATGATAAAGAACTTACAATGTATTTGAAAATCTCTCAAATCTAATTATTTAAAAATACAATAAGGGTTGTTTGGTTTGAAATAAAATATGTGTAAAGTATACCCAATGCAAGAGTTCTGAATAATATTAATATTTAGTTTGAAGTAAAAGAAATGCAAAAGAAATTTTTGGTACATTTGAAAAATGCCCTCTAGTATAATTCTTGTGAATATTAAATTCATTAGATATGGGTGATTTCAAAATACATCGTAAATTCTTTGTCATTGTCACTTGTTGGTGCCACCCGCCACTGCCAATCGCTACTTACCAAGTTTTGATGGCCAGTACTAGCCATCTCCTCGAGCTATCGAATCGGCAACCACCATCGGCACATGCCAACCATCATTGTTCCATGTCACTGTTTCCACCTATTGTCATTGGCCACCACAAGCATCCACAACTACTGTTGACCACTACAAGGCATCGTTAACCACCTCAACTACCACCAACCAATGCTGAGGATTGTCGATTTCCATCATTGCTCACTATTGCCCATCGCCGCCACGCGATCATCATCATATTTGAGCTTTTATATTACATTTGTTTAACTTTAAGGGGCTATTTGGTTTGCATTTCCTTTTTCATTCAACCAAACATCAATATTTTCAAAACATCTACATTTGAAATACTTTACACTCAATTTGCAAGAGTTTCGAAAATATTAGTATTTAGTTTGAAGTAAAAGAAATACATAATAAAATTTTGGTACATTTGAAAAACATACTCTAGTATAATTCTTATGAATTTCAAATTTGTTAGATTTGGGTGATTTCCAAATAAACTTTAAATTCTTTGACATTGTTACTTGTTGGTGCCACCCGCCACTGCCAATCGCTGCTTGTCAACTTTCGATGGCCTCCACTAGACATCATCACCAGTCATCAAATCAGCAACCACCATCGACACATGTTGACTATCATATTGTTACCATCTCCATCTATTATCATCGACCATCACGAGCATCCACAGTTGTTGTTGACCACAACTAACAATCGCCAGCCATTGTTGACCTTGAATTCACCTAAATCTTGGGTCAAAGGGTTGATTTGGTCAAATTGACCAGGCCAGGCCCTATGACCACCTACCTTGGGTTCCATGAGTCAAACCAAATCTCTTGAGCTCAGACCCATTCCTTGGGTTAACCTGGTTGACCAGGACAACCCAGGTTGACCCAATTCACCCTTCTGGAGGATGAATCTTACGGAGAACGAAGGAGACGATCCGAAGGAATATGATAAGAAGGAAGACAATCCGGAGGAGGAAAATCCACTTAAAGATGAAGACTTGAAGATGAAATATCTTGGTTTTAAGATTTGCATCATTCAGTAGGATTAAAATTCAGGTTGTTGTCGATGGAGCTTGACCACCATTACTTTTTTACATACCATGGGTTGTACTTATATGGCACTTGGCGTAAACTTTCTTTCTTTACTTTGCTTTGGTGATTTTTGTTGATGTATTTACTTTGTGTGTGCAGTAGAAATGACATGTTTTTCATAGGTTTCTTTGTTGCATGTGCTTGGTCTGATTTTTGCTAAGCTCTTTAAGGACTAAAACTTTTTTCTACTCGTAATTAAAACTTAATATTATAGGGATTAAATAACTTAGAAATTTAACGAGCTAGGGAATAGCCGGAATTGTCCGAGGTCGCATGCATATTAATATATTTTCTCTCTCATTCTGTAAGACACTTTCCCGCCTGTGGGTAGAGTCCGGATAATGTAGCCTATGAGGATGAGGTACCGGACCTGAAGAAGCCCAATCTTTTCTAAAAAATTATTTTATAAGTCTTTTTTTAAAGTTCATGTATTTCTGATTTAAATCCTTTAACTAGCATGCATTGTATTAGAAACCAATTAATTAAAATTTAATTTGCATTAATTTTAGGAGCATCATACCCTATATGAGTCCAAGGTCAATTAGGAATCTCTCTAGACGTCGGCTTTACTTCCAATAACTAAACTACCTACTCATCTTTTATAAAGACTAGACATTATGGATTTTACATGCCTAGGTGGTTAGTTGGCTTTTCTTTTCAGGCATGATATAAGCCCAGATGCATTGGCTAGGACACAGATGTTAGTGTTGGATGTAGAATACTAAACTCACCTTAGATTTAGGATTTAAGGCTACTACATTTTGTGTCTCGTAGTACGCTTCAACGGTAGGTAAGTTCCCTTTTCTTCGGGACTATAAATACTACCTATTTGTGTCACATGTATGACACCACTTTCATCCTTTCCTTTTGCATGCTTTGAGTGTATTGTTTTCTCTTCCTCTAGTTTCTCCTCAGTGCCTTAGTCCCTCTGGGTGTTTATCCGAGTCATGCATATTGACTAAGCCCACTTAAACCCTTTCTTTCTCTTTGAGTAGGGTTTCCTAGTCTCCCCTCTGTATCAATCCCCTTTTGGAAAGAATAATGTCGGATATTTAATCGAGATTATTCTCAGGCTCCGGCCTGAGATGTAATTAACCACAAGGGCTTATGCCCGTGGGAAACAGAACTCCACCATCAAATAAACCCCACTTGAGCTAATATATCAGGTGGGGGAAACCCATTGTTTCGTTCAGATCGTGTATATTATTACCCATCATGGTGTGTTGGTGAGTGCCGCTATCCTCAATGGTTAATCGTATGTGCGATCTAATATGCCGATCTAATATGCCCTTCTATTAGCTCGCTTACAAAGAACACGGAGGCCTACGATCGTCTCGTCCCTCTGGATGGTGCGGTCGTGTACCCTCTACACTATGTCCCCTGCTAAGTGGATACCCTTTCAAGGGTCCACAATCATATCGACCACAACTGACTGACGTCGACGATTGCCAATTGTCATCATTACCTACTTTTGTCTGCCTCCACCGCGCTGTCATCATCATATTTGAGCTTTTACATTATATTTATTTTACTTTTGTTTGGTTGGAATTAAAATGGATGTAAAATTTTTCAAATGCATATACTTTTAAAATTTTGGTATTTGGTTGAATGAAAAAGAAATGCAATGTAAAGTAAATATTATGTAAATCATTTTAAAATCAAGCAAAAGTAATAATCACCTACAATTAATTTATACTTATCCAAATATTTCAAATACATTGTATAACTTTTATACATCAATCCATTTTACTCTGCATTCTTTTTTCAACAAACCAAAAAAATCATAAAATTAAGCTTGATGATCATTTGAAATGCACCAAAATTTACATTTTCAAAGTCTTTGCATTTAACAAATTAAATATCCTTTAATGAGTTTTAAGTTTATATAATTCTAATAAAATATAAGTTTAAGCACTTAAATTTTATTTCATCATCCACCACTCTTCTCATAAACCAAGATTAATTATGCTCAAAACTATAGTGATTATATCAAAGTGAGGTATTTGATTGTGCTTTTAGGGGCTTAAAGCTAACTTAAGCCCTAACCATGAAAGCGCTATGTTTTACGGGTTATTATTAGTGTAATTATTTTCCTTGGTCCAACCCACCTTACCGTCCGTCGTCCCCTTCCGGGTGTACTTACTCCGACCTCAAGCATCTCCGGCGAGCGGCGGCGGCCGCATCGGCCGATGGAGAAATCTCCAACTAAACCATAGCAGACACTAGCTTCCTATTCCATCCTAAATGGCCCATCAAATTCATTCATTTTTCCTCTCATCTCTCCTTCCTCTCCTCGCCATGGTTTCGTTCTCTCTCCTCCGCCTTCCTCCCGCTTCCGATCCCACTCCTACTGAGACACCGATTTCTCTTCTGATCACTGGGAATGAAACCCTAACTATGAATTACATAGTGAGATTCCGGGATTACAGGATGACGGATGACCACCATGCCTACCTTGAGGAGAACCTCCGGTTTTCTGAGGGCTGGCGGTGGATCGAGCGGAGGAACCCGGCTTTGTCGTTTCCGACGGACTTTGGTGTTTTGGAGATCGGGGGAGAGCGGCGGTTGTTGCTGATTGAGGATATCCAGAGGTTGAAAAGGGTTAAAGACGTGTTTGCGGATACGCGCTATTCACGTAGCTTGTTCTTTGATGGACGAGGGAAACAGGGCTTCGTGAGTGAGAAGAAACGGCCTGGGAAGATCTTCACGTCTATGTCGTTTGAGGAAGAAGGGAAGAAGAGCAGTGATTTGGTCGGGAATAATTCATTTAGGCTGGAGCGGAAGCTCATGATGGAGGTTTGTTGGTTTGGTTTTAATTTGTGAATTTCCAACGGCAGTGCTTTTCCAGTTTTTTGAAACTATGAGGTTCATAACTTGGCCGTGGAAATTTTATTTTCTTCTTTTATGCAATTTGTGGTCTTCGTTTGGCTGGGAATTTCGAAAGAGTGGAAGGATAATGAGGTAGTTTGAGGAACTGTATATAACGAGCTTGGCATGTTAATCTGCACTCTATCGTACACTTCTTATCTCGAAAATAAGTTTATAATTTTGGCCAGCTTGGGCAATATACATACAAGTATAAAAATCCTGGATTGTTCTCCGAAAAATTCCTATTGAACTCTGCTAAGATAGATAGAGCTCTCTTGGTCTCAAAATGAGAGGTTACAGGGGTAACGGCGGTGAAACTGAGACCAGTGAGAAATGGAAGTGTGGATGAATGCAACTTTCTTTTTAAATCATTTACGCTTAAATATGCATTTTAAAACCCCCATGATGGGCAAGGAGCTATAGTTCTTTTCGTGTTCAAATGAAATTTTGAATTCCTATTTTGCTGGGCCAAGGCTTTGTATTTGTATATAAGCCGTTTTTGAAAGATCTCGATATCCTCGTTGCTTAAATGACAATGGGCTACGACAGAAGCTCGGGACAGAGTCACACGACCATTTGATCCTCTTTTTATCATCTCATTTTTCATTTTAGAAGTCAAGTCTGAAGATTTACAACCACAATCTAGCACTATGCTTCTTTTTACTGCAATACTATATGGGTTATGGTAGTTTTTGCATTATCGCTCCTTCAGACTTTGAAGCCCATACAATTCAGTTCTTTTCTAACCTGGAGTTGTGTAATAATTGATTTCTTATTGCTCTAGAGATCCCAAATTACATCACTTTTTGGAGCTGAAAGACTATGGGCTAAGGGGTTCACTGGCAGTAAAGTCAAAATGGCAATTTTTGATACAGGCATTCGTGCAAATCATCCCCATTTTCGGAATATCAAGGTATAGCAATTTTTTTTTTTTTAAATGAAAATTATTTATCATTTACATTTTTTCGCCCGTTCTTTATTTAGTTGTATAATGGCATCTCTCAAAAATAGATTTGATTTCCAACCATTAATCAATTGACAATCAGAAATCTCACCAATTTAGCTGAAGATTTATTGTTTCCACATAATGATTTTTTTGTTCTATTTACTTATTTATCTTATTTTGTAATAAAGCTTTTAGTTTTAGAATTTCAACTCCGAGTAATCATGTAGTTGCAGTCTAATGACTATAAAACGATTCTATGCAGGAGAGGACAAACTGGACAAATGAGGATACTTTAAATGACAACCTTGGGCATGGTACCTTTGTTGCTGGAGTTATTGCTGGTGAAGACGAAGAGTGCCTAGGATTTGCTCCAGATACTGAGATTTATGCATTTCGTGTTTTTACAGATGCTCAGGTAATGCTTGTTTTACCTTCTGCCAGCTCATGGATGCATTAGTTTAATTAGGCAGGTTTTCTGTATAGATCACTTGACTATTGTTGCTTACCCCTACTTTTTTTTTTTTGGAAAACTTTACATCTTGTTCTTAAAGTGCATACAGCATGAAATTAAATGGTTCTGGTTATATTGTCATGATAGCTCTTCTAAAATTTTCTTCCTTTAGTTTCTAATATCTATATCTTTGAAATGGATGAGATACCAACGGCATCATATTGTAAGCTTGAATAAGTTTCAGTAAGCTTCATGAGAATTTCTCTATTGACATAAAATTTTGCATGGAGCAAATTGAAAAATCTGGAGGAATGGATAAACTAAAAATGAATTTTTACCCATTCTTTTATGTTTTACTGTATCGGTCTTAATTCATGTCAACTCTATGGCAGAGATATGACTGTTTTTCCAATCTCATAATGTTGTTGAAGTTAAGCGAAACATTGGTTTCCAGGTGGAAATCTTCTTGCTTACTCTTGTTGGAAGCATGGCATTGAGCATTAATTTGTGTAGTTATTTATTTCATTTTTAAGTAGTTGGTTATTTTATTTTTGCATTTGAGTATTTGAGTACATGATGGTGATGGCAGGGGGTTGCCTAAAAAAGGTTATAAGTTTTTTCCTTGCTTTAGATTAATTCATATGGTTAGCATGATTTCAATTTTAATTTAGGGGTTGTTTGGTTGGAAGTAAACTAGGTATAAAGTATTCCTTTTGCATGGGTTTTGAAAATATTGGTGTTTGATTAGATGAAAAAGAAATCTAGTGTAAAGCATTTTAAACATAATGCAAAGCATTCTAGTTCAATTTTGAGATGAAGTAAACTCGCTCAATTTTGAGTGAAAACCATTTCCACCGCAACCAAAATACCTTGTCATCACCCTTACCAGCTACCAACTTCCCTCGCTGCAGCCGGCCTCCACTTCCATGGCCACCCTCCGCTATTAGCTGCTGCTCGCCACCCGCTTGCCAACACCTTTGCAAGTGTCATTGGTCACCCTCCGCCACCAGCTGACCACCATCATTTTGAACTTTGCACTGCATCCATTTTACTTCATGCCAACAATATCAACAACAACAAGCCTTTATCCCACTATGTGGTGTCGGCAACATGAATCCTTTTTCTCCATTATAATCTTGTTAAGAGTCAAATTCTCATCTAAATCTAATAAATAAATGTCATTTCTAATATTTTCTAACCAAGTCTTTTTAGGTCTACATTTATCTTTCTTAACATAAGCCAAATCTAATACATCTATTTTTCTAGCTGGGTCGTCGGAAGGCTGCCGTTTTATGTGACCAAACCATATAAGGCGACTCTCTCTAATCTTATCTTCCACTGGAGCTACTCCAACCTTTTCATTTATATGCTCATTTATTATCCTCTCTAAGATTAAAGCTACTCATCCACCTGAGCATCATCATCTCTGCAACACTTTTAACTTAATGTTATACTTCCCTTTTCATGGCCAACATTCTGCACCATAAAGCATTGCAGGTCTCACTACAATCTTATAGAATTTTCTCTTAAGTTTGTGATGTAGAACTGAATGAATGCACATGTGCAGTAAAATTGGAAATTACACATTTATGAGCAGAACCCTGAAAATTAATTAACGTTCAACGTGCAAAAAAAGACTTAAGCCAGTGAGGTAGTGATTAGACTTTAGCGATCAATTACTTGATAATAGGAGAATCACAACATAATCAAGTCAAATAATTTCATGCTTTTTGCGAGATCTCAAAGATAATCCCTCAACTAACAATTAGACTTATCACACACGATTTTCTAACCAAGTCTTTTTAGGTCTACATTTATCTTTCTTAACATAAGCCAAATCTAATACATCTATTTTTCTAACTGGGTCGTCGGAAGGCTGCCGTTTTATGTGACCAAACCATATAAGGCGACTCTCTCTAATCTTATCTTCCACTGGAGCTACTCCAACCTTTTCATTTATATGCTCATTTATTATCCTCTCTAAGATTAAAGCCACTCATCCACCTGAGCATCATCATCTCTGCAACACTTTTAACTTAATGTTATACTTCTCTTTTCATGGCCAACATTCCACACCATAAAGCATTGCAGGTCTCACTACCATCTTATAGAATTTTCCCTTAAGTTTGTGATGTAGAACTAAATGAATGCACATATGCCTATTTTACACTAACTTAAGCCAACATTGATTGGGGAATTGATTTGGGAACTTAATGGAGTTGCCAATCATAGCCCACTAGTTAAGGAAAGTAGATTTATGACAAATCTCCATTCAAAATTCAAATGGGTTGATTGGGAGGAAGTTTTCTTTCATGGTTCCTCCTTTCTGAAAAGGAACTTCATATTTTAAGGGCCAACATTGATTGGGGAATTGATTTGGGAACTTAATGGAGTTTCCAATCATAGCCCACTAGTTAAGGAAAGTAGATTTATGACAAATCTCCATTCAAAATTCAAATGGGTTGATTGGGAGGAAGTTTTCTATCATGGTTCCTCCTTTCTGAAAAGGAACTTCATATTTTAAGGGCATTAAAATATGAATTCAGATTTTGCCAAATATATGATGCTCTAAAATTGGAAAGTATTGAAGGATCAATTTGAAATTTTGGAGCCAAGGGATAGTGGGGGATGGTCGGCTCCTATGAGGGAGGTGAGCTGGTGGTTAGGGGTCGACCAAGGAGAGGGCCGGCGATTATGGGGAGGGAGGGGTTTCAACGGCTAGGGATCAGTCAAGGGGAGGGCCGGCGGTTAGGAGGAGGGCAATTGGTTGGAGCTTTGGGGAAGATGAAGGTGTGGGCGAGATTTTGAGGAGAGGAGAAATCAGCAGTGGAGAGAAGCCGTGAGCCCAGATGCTTCCTGCGACTGATGAATCTTGTTTGGCCCTCACCTAGGGGCTTCACATAAACTCTTACAAGATCTCTTAAAACTCACCAAGATACAAAGTACAGAAATTTCATTCATCATCATCATCATCCCCCCAAAGAGGAGGGGAGGTCTATAAATAGACATAATACAATAAAATATCAAATGACAAAAGTGCTCCCCTGAGTCCACATAAGCCTACTCCCTCAAGTGAGGGTAAAAACGGAAAATACATAATAAAAATCAAATACAAGTAAATGCTCAGAAATAAAGTAGTCCAATCTTAGCCGTAGATCTCCGACCTCTTCTCTGATAAACTTTTCACAGTCAGATGTCCTCATCAGTTTGAGAGGGACTTTTCATTTTACTTCAAGTAAAAAAAAAGTAATTTCATGTATTAATTTTACACTAACTTAAGCCACTTCAAATATTTCAAATACATTATATTCATGTTACATTGTATTCTTTTTACATTCATTTTTTTAAAGCAAACCAAACAGTCCCTTAGCTTAGGTTAATTCCAAAAAAAAATAGATATATATGACATCACTATATTTTCTTACTGCATAATTGGAGATTGGTGGCTATTTTAGAGGTATCTTTGTGTTTGCTCTCATCAGATGCATCACGTCGAGCATTAATTATTTTTTTTTATAGTCGGTTTTTTTTTGTTGAGTATATGCTAGAGATGATGGCCAAGAAGGGTTATGTTATTTCCTAGTTTTAGATTAGTTTATATTATTGGGATGATTTTAATATTGATTTAGTTTATGTTAATTCTAATAGAGGACAGGAATAGAAAACTTCTCATGTTGATTATTAATCTTGATTTAATTAATTCTAACTCTAATAAAAGATATAAGTCTTTGAAATGGAAAAGATGATGTTTGTTTCTGATTTATTGATGAAATTCTGAAAGATTTTTAATCATTTCATTATCGATTGGTTTTAAATTATACTGTTATATGCTTCCATTTGAAGAAGTGAATTGTTGGATTAATCGATAATTTGTGGTCTGTGAATATTCAATATTCCTTTGGATGAAAGCACATCATGCATCATATTAATTACATTAGGAAATTCTAATTTTGAGTCATCTTGCATCAGATTGTCCTGCATTTGCTTGTGCTAAATTCTTTAATTAACATGCACATAATTTAATATGACATTCTTATGTGATGCTGTTGTTGCTTTCTGAATAGCCATTAGTAATACATTCCTCCATCCCATGTTTTTCTGGTAGATCTAAGTTCAGTTGAATTGCTTTATCCAGTACTGTTGCATGCTTTTACTTTTCAAATGGCACCTTTTATTTCTTTTATTGAAGTTTGTATCTTTCTTTTGAGTGTACAAAAATTTCTCAATATTTCCTCAAAGAATGTTAAACTAATCATCATGCATTAAATTTAACTTATTTGTTTTTAAAGATTATATATGCTGCCAAGATTACAAGAATTTTTTATTCAGTCCCATTGTAGGTATCTTACACATCATGGTTTCTGGATGCATTTAATTACGCTATTGCGACCAACATGGATGTGCTCAATTTGAGTATTGGTGGACCAGACTACTTGGATCTTCCTTTTGTGGAGAAGGTGATGTTAGATTTAACAGTGTGGTCATGTTTTTTTAGCTTTCGCTAATTTAATATCATTTACGTTTCTCCTAGGTTCTTGAGCACCTATTAGATTCTTACATTTTAACTAATGAGATGATATTGAGATTACTCTCAGTATCTTCATGTTCATTGTACTATTCCTTTCCCGAGCTTCAGCATAATCATTAACTTTGTCACTGTTCATATCTCAGGGTTTAGAAGTGATACAGATGTTCTTGAAGTTAAATTGAATAGTTTGCATGTAATATCTGTATGCTAGTATTATCTTATCCTTGTATTTTTTGACTGATCTTTGGCCTTATTGATGGATCAATCATTACAGTAAATCACTGAAACATGAGTTAGGTGTTCAATGGTGGCAGGCTGACAGCAGATGGGAAACATTTTTTTTAAGGATTTTCAGGAAACATGTAGTTGCAGGTCATGCAAAGCTATTTGAGGATATTATTGAAAATAATTGTCCCTGCATGGGGATGATAGAGCTATCCATCTTCCAATTTATATCGAAATGCTAGTTTGATGTAGGAGCTAGTTTCACAATTTATCCAGTTAACAACTCTAGCTGAAGGCATTATCACCCCCCTTCCAAAAAATTTGCATATTTTCAATTCACTGAAACTTTCCTTCGTTAGCAGTATATAAACTAGGACAAGATCAAGCCTTGCCCAAGGGAACACTCTTCAGAACTTAGGTGGTGTTGTCTTTTTTTTTTAATTGCCTAGCCTTTGCTTATTATCTTAACTAGCTTCCTGCTAAGCTTATTTTCAGTTGAAGTCATACAAACAAACCATAGATCTTTAGAAGTCGTTGCTGCTGACTAGGTATTAATAACATCAAATTTGTTTAACAAAAGAGATGTGATAGAGTAACTTCTATCGCTATACCTTAATGTCATATATACTTGGCTATAGTAATGAAAGTATTTTATTTGGCAATCTCAGAATTATGTGTGGAGTGCAACTCAAGTAGTTTTTGGATTTCCTACCTATGTATGTTTTGAGTTGTAGCTGAAAAATGAAGTTGGTTATTGTTCTAGAATCACATATTTTTGAAGTGCATGTGAATTGTGTTACAAAATAACTAGGAATTTGCAATCACATTTTCTACGACTTCTAATGGATCATGTAAGCAAATAATTTTGCTTTTGAGTTTTATTAATGCAGGTTGGTAAGATATGTGATGGACACTAGCTTGTCATACCATCATAACTTAATCAGTGCTACATAGTTACTAAAATATCATCTTTTTATCACAAAGATGACCATGCTTGGCATACATATTGGTAGACTGTTTTGCTATGGAAAACACCCGCTTTATGTTTCTAGCATATAAGATGATGCAAATATAAAAGTTTATTCCTTCAAAGTACAAATCATGTGAATTGATGTTATTTTAGTTCTTTTATTTCTTTGGTTTATGTTTTCTAGTTTATTGTAGTGTAAAACATGCCTATGATGTTGGTTTATATAACAATGTGATGTTTTCTCTAGTATTTCATTAGGTTTGATTTACTGTTGCAAGTCATTTCAATTCAACCCTTAATTCCCCTTTTCAATTATTCCAATTCCTTGATTCAGCAGATAACCAATTCGCTATTTTGTTCACCCACTGATTTGGAAGTTCACTGTTACTGGATTGTCGTTGATTCCTTCCATCATGCAGCTTTCCCATTGCGACGACAATTCACCCTAGACATTTCTAGTCTTTGTTTGATGGTTTATATATTTTGCTCTGTAGCTTTGTTCATAGTTTGAAATTTTCTTTTTTTTGGTTCTCTGTCAGGCATTGCATTGTTTGTAGAATATGCAGAATTGCCACATTCGGGTTTGGAATTTTTTGAAATTGCTAAAATTGTGTTTTTTAAATGTTGGAACTCACAATTTTTTAGAAACTAGAATGGGGAAGTTGTTGATTCGTATTGGATTTTAAATATGTTGATTTGAAACCTTTAAGATTATGCTATATTTTAAGGTATGTTGACAAGTTAATTATTTTGGGTCTTTTTGGGTTTCATCCCGTGGAAATTATTGGAAAAACTTACGATGCATAGGAAGAATTGACATTGAGCATTATATACCAAAAAAATTTATTCAACTATTCAATACTATGAATGCCTTGGTTTTTCAATTTGTAATTTACACCGTTGTTCTTCTTCTAAACTATCTAGTGATTGGTTTTTGTAACTGAGATTTTATCAAGTTTGATATATGTCAACTTTCCTTTTAATGATGTGAATATTAATTGTTGTAGAATTTTATGTTTGTTTTCAATTTTCTTGTGAAATTTTAGATTTTGATGACTTCAACATTATTTTTTAGATGAATAAATGTGTTTTATATTTTTTTATAAAAAATAACTATTATTTGTTCAAATTAACAGTTGTGAAATTACAAAATGTGGTATTTTTGTAATTCCTTGCAAATCTCATATTAGATTTTAATTAGTAAATCTTGGACCCTAAGCCATCCTGTATTACAAGAGAGAAAAAATGAATCTATTTCTCTTTTACAGATAAGCTTGGAATCACTTAGAGGAGCACCGTAATCTCATATTTTATGTAATTAATCAAACAAAACCCCAACCGATAAACATGATTGATATGTTAGAAATGATCTATGCTCTACAAAGTAACAAAGGCTGGCAATTTAGGGGTAAGAGGGTAGGAGCAGGATACAATATCCTATGTAATAAGGGATAAAAAATAATTTGTTTCTCCTTTTTTAATAGGTTTGCGATTTCTCAAAGGAGCACAATAATCTTATATTTTATGTAATTGATCAAACGATGGTTTCCAACTAGGAAACATGGTTGATGTGTAAGGAATGATCTATACTATAAGTTGGCAATTTAGGGGAAAGAGAATGAGGCATCCCTTGCATATTGCTTTTCTAGATGAAATCACCTGCTAGCTTATATCTTTCCCAAATATTTATCATAATATATGCATGTTTGTCAATCCTTCTTGAGGCTTTCAAGTTTGGCTATTCTAGTAGAACCCATCCTAGTTTACATATCTACATTTTTGTCAGTTTAAATACTCTTTGGTTTGATTTCAAACAAAATAATATATCTTTGAGACTTTGATATATAAAATCATTCATTGGAGAATACTGAAGAATATGAAAACGACACCAGGGATTTAAGTGGCCAGTGCTTGGTTCTTTCATTGGCTAGGAAGCCCAACACATCAGGACAATGAGTGAAGTTCTGAAACCGAATACGGTTGTGTGGAAAATGAGCTATTCATGACTTGGGTTCATGGAATTGATTTGTTGCCTTGTTTATAGTTTCTGCTTGCTACTACATATTATTTGGCTTAAATGAACTCTAGCAAACTGATATGTTGGTTCCCCAGGAACCGATTCAGCCTCAGCCGGCCCAGATGGGGTCGGCACTTGTATACAGGAGGCGGGTCAAACCGCCTCCTTCCTGCACTGCTTAAGGGAGGGGCCCACGCCCAATTTGTTTTGGATTTAATTAATTAAAAAGATTTGATATCTTTTGTATTAAATAAATAATATCTTGTATTAGGAAGTTCTTAAGGAGGTGGAGAGGGCTATTTAAAGGACATGAAGGGGCTAGGGCTAGGCATGTTTTTGATTATTGTTTCTCTTATAGTTCTTTCGGGGTGTTGGACTCTAGATTCATCATCTAGAGATTTGGGAGAGACGATCCTCCTCGAATTGAGGATCAATTGTATCTTGCTTAGTGATTTGTTTTGCTTTAGTTCTTATAATAAAATTATACTGTTTTTGAGGATTTCCTTCAAATTTCTCTAGTATCTCTTGCTATTTTTCTTCCAATTTTTTTTGGTTTGCTTGCGAACTCAAGTATTTCCCGTTAGGGTTACTTGCGAACTCAAGTATTTCCTATCACAAACCATTCAGGAACTTGATAGGAAGTGGAAGCAATTTCCTCGAAATCAGTGAACGATAATAAGAAATTATGAAGAAAAACACACCAAAATTATTTTTGTTATAGATATATGAATGAAAATGGCAAGAACAGTTGGATCTTCAATTGGAGAGGAAGACCCAGCTCTCCCAAATCCCTAGCCGTCCACTAGAGCCCAAATAACCTAAGAATAAACTAAATTCAGCGAATTCTCAAAACATAATCTGAAATCACCTTATTGTTAGCCTTAAATAGGTTCCCATAATTCACCCCCAAATCAGCCACCTTTCCCTAAATAATTCTCATTTAGATTTGAATTCAAATTAGATTTATTTCCCTAATTAATTCCCTCCCAATTATAATTACAACTTTCCTAAACAATCCTCCTCTTAATTCCTCATTTTCCCTAAATAATTTCCTCTTAGATTTTGAATTCAAATTAGATCTCTTGCTTAAATAATTTCTTCTCAATCGTAATTTAAACATTCATAAATAATTCCTCTTTGATTAAGAACTTTCCTAAGCAGCTCTCTCTTGATTAGAAAACTTCCTTATTCCCTCCCAATCAAATTGGCCGGTCCATCAATAATCCCTCCCAAATTGCCACATTGTCCTCAAGGTGGAACGAAGGAAACTGCTATTGAAGCACTTGACTAATAGCACTAGACTCTGTTTAAAATTGCGCAGCGCCTCTGTGCAATTTGCCTCAAATACGCTTCGAGGCTTACGCAATTTTCCTCTTGGCAGAGGCGTACGCCTCACCGGGTATGAGGCGCACCTCTAAGGCGCAATTGCGCAATTATAGGTTAGGCGTACGCCTCATCAGCCCGGTCCCACGGTGGGTTAAAATTCACTACACCAATTAGTATAAGCTGTTCGACCACTGTTTAAACTTCCAGTACCGCTCGGTATCGAGCCAGTACCGCTCGGTACCGAGCGGTACATGCTCGGTACTGAGCGGGATATGATTGGATTTTATATGTTCCTTCTTAATTGTATTTTGGGAGTTCTGATAGACTATAATTTTGTGGTTTTGAGCTTTAGAACATGCTTTTATTGCATCTTCTTTCTTAATTTTCACTA